TTTCGCTGGATACGAAACAGAAACCATTGGCATCACATCTGCAAAAAAAAAAAATACAGGGTCAGTTCAAGAGGGCTTCCATTGGCTGGAAGCTCTTGTGTCGAGTAGATCGTTTTGTTTTCTACTAACCTCCGTTTTTTCAATCAGCGTCAATGGCTACTTCTGCTAATTGGAAACTCGATGATGATATTTGCATGTAGGAAGGGTATGTGTTTCACCTAGTTCCTCCAATATTTTTTTTCCTTGACTCAGACAGCCCATGGGAGGAAAGAGAAGAGAGAAGCCGAAAAGCCTGTCGAGAAGTTACTCAGGCTTTGGAACAGATACCATACATAGATTGGGGGTTCCTGATCCTGATCTCCCAAACTATCAATCGCCTCTTTGCCTTCCATCGCCTCTTTGCCTACCATCGCCTCTTCGCCTTCCGTTACATCCTTTCTCCATAAAGAATGAACCGGAGACAACCAGCATTGTTAGTCAAGGGCCATGGAGAGGGACCATAGGTGGGACCCCCGGCCGGGGCCTTCCTTCATTGTACACCAATACTGTAGTGCACAAACAAAAAAAATCCGTGAAACAGAACCTCATGCGCTCTTGTCTTGATGGCCCATGCGGAAAAATTTACAAACAAAAATAAAAGATGTGATGTGTGATACCTTTTTGTCTGAGATGACTGGCATGGTCAACGTTGGCACCCATTTTTTTTGTCCACAGGGAATATTTCTTCCTCTCCTGACGTTGCGAGAACCCTCTTGAGTCATCAAGTACTCGTCCTTATTTGCAACTCAAAAAGTGTATAAATCAAAGGAAAGGGGCGAAAGGAACAAAGATAATTGTACCATATGGAAAAATAGTTGGACGTTTAGCCGGTAAAACCGTAACCCATTTCCCTTTAGCCTTTTTTTATTCTCTCACTTACTCTCCTTTTCTCTAGCCCTTTTGGTGGCAGTTGCATAGCAATGCCAAAGCTGCCCTAGAATTACGAAAAGGGCCTACAATGAAAAAATAAGGGTTACCTTTATTCCAAAAGCACCATCAAAAGCAAGAACCCTCCTTCGACCTAATAGTCCAAGAACCGGTCAGGGAAGATAACAGGGGCCAAGAGGGAGAATGCATAGAGGCCATAGCAGATCCAAGACGAGATGACCTTGACCCAGACTGCAGGCCAACTCTGACCAATCAGAATGAGATTGTCGCTTCTGCCGTCAACTTCTTGGAAGTTGTTCCAGTTGGTGAGGACCATCGAGATGTACATCGCTGCAAGGGCGAAGACGAGATGGAAGAATGTATAGTTGTACTGGCATCCAAATTTTTCGTCGTCCTTGGAGTCGTACTCCTCGTCATCATCGTCATCTGCATCATCCAACGCAGACACAGGAAGCGCACTATGTCATAAACGTTATACAAGTCAGTATTAATGAGAACAAATGGGGTTTAAGAAAGGTAAGAAAAAAAAAAAGGTCATGGAGGAGAGACTCTTACCCGCTCTCGACGGCGGCGAGCAGGGCATCGGAGCGACGCATGGAGGATCCAGTAGGCTGGTTGTTGACGAGGGGTACTGCAGAGTCCGAGTTGAGAGGCGCGTAGTCGCCACTGTTGATCATGGCTTTTCCTCCCTGAGTCGCAGCCCTGGAGGTTGAGTAAGCAACGGCAAGGAAAGTAAATATAGCTCCCATAAGAACTGAGGTCGTCCTGGTGCCCCTGGCCTTGCTCAATGGGTTACAATTAGTACCCTCATCCGGCTCATTTGCAACCGCGCTGAGGACCAAGTACGCACAATAGATGACCACCATCGACGACTGTGCGAGTCCAGATCGAGGGTTCGCCTCCTGAACAGCCGGCAAGACCCCAATCACTGTCACAGCCACTCCCAAGACAAGGTTAAAGGTGATCCAGAAGATGTTCATGTTGCAACCGTCGCTGGCGAAATACCCGTACATCACCCCTGTCAAGACGATGGCTCCCAAGTACATGATCAACGTTGATCCAACAAGAATGAACTGCCACTTGTTGGTGTCGCTCTGTTCCCATTTGTCCATACAGGTCTCGCTCCATGTGTGGGCAAAGTCGACGAGGAGGATGAGTCCAAAGAGGATAAAGATTCCTGCGCCAATCAGTGCCACATAGTTGCCGTAGAACACAAAGAACCCTGTAGGAATAAAGAACGAGGCCACCACCAGTGCCATCCAGACTAATACTTTAGGACCCCACCATCTAAAGGCACACGAAGAATATATGATGGGTCAATAAGATGGTGTATCGCAAGTAAAAATCAGAATGTAGGGCAAGTGTGGGATGCAAGCCTATATCCACCCCCTTAAGTTTTTTGTCGTCGTCGTCTATTGATTGCATTGCTCTTTGGTTTGTACTTACCCATTCTGAACTGCCGCCCTTTTTGACCGTGAATCATGCACGCCAACCAACAGTGCGCCAAGAATAAAGTGAAAGAGGGCCAAAGCAAATCCAACACGCTGAACCTATTATTTGTATTGAGCCAAAGCACGTTGTAAGATGTCCCTTCTTGCTTTCCAAGTCCCTCGTCATGGTCCTAAAGGCAAGCATGAAACCAGGGTGCACATACCCCAAAGGCTCCATAGCAGGAGTTGTCCTCGCAGTTGAGTTTTAGGTATCCGTGCGTGATACCCTCGAGTTGTTTTGAAGCCCATTCTGAAAGCAGGATCCATGCGAACTACATTCGAAGAGGACACCAAAGTTAGTGTGGTTCTTGGAAGGGGCAAGTCAAGCAGCAATAAGCGAGATGTAATAATGGTGCGGGCTGAGTAGGAGGACGACGAGGCATAACCTACCAATGAGTTGACAAGCATTATCAACTATAGTGAAAAAAACGAAGGAAGCGTCAGTAGGCAATAAAGATACACAACAGCGTCTATATATATGAGTGTATGTATGTTTTGTCGTTTGCTACGTAGCTGAAGAGAGAACTTACGGCGTATCCGACGCGGGTGGCGATGGAGTTGTTGCAGTTGCATGAGCGGCATGCAAGGGAACAAGCAGCGGCGGAGAAGCATGAGGCGAGGATGGAGCCCAGACTGCCAAGGGCAGGCAAGGCGACACAACTCAAGACTGCTCCCATATGAGTCAAAGTTGTTCTTGTTGGCTGGAGAGAGAAAGTGTGTGTTTTGGTGGCGCTCAGAGGTGTGAGAGGAGAGAAAGAGAAAGACGGATGAGGTGTTGTAGTTGGTGGCGTTTGAATGAGAGAAGTGAAAGACGATGAACGTTTGGGTGAACAACAAAAGAGACCCTTGACTTGGCGGGTAAAGAGAAACAGTGCGGACAATGGCAGAGTTAGATCACGTGACTAATTAATGATCACTGGTCAAGCAACATTTCTTTCAAGTTTCAACCCCTTCGATCATCGACCCCTTTATCGCCTTTTACCCTTCTCTTCTTTCTGCTTTATCCACTAACGGTCTCGCGGCTTCGCCAGGATGTACATAAAGGATGTAAGAGTGAAATTGGTACGAAGAGGAAGAAAAAGGACCTCTGCAACACGTCGTGTTCCTTTATTGATCACGACGCGTTCAAAAAAAAAAAGAACAGGATGTTGTTCAAGATGATCGATGCTTGTCCACTTCTTTTTCCTCTTGCTATGAATCAATATCATTCAAACCACGACACAACCATGGGCAGGACCTCTCTCGCCATACAGCGCTGTAGCAATGAACAAAGGAAGATGAATGGTGATGAATAGCATGACCTGCTAACTAAAATATACTTCTCTGTTTCTATGCTCCCTTCCTTGCGTTCCTTTTCTAAGGGTTTTCGATGGATATACTCTTTGCCCTCTTCTTTCACCCCATTTTTTTTCTCCTTTGCCAGCTCCATCCGCCTTTAATCATTTTTATGTAAAGATCCAGGCGCTCTGCTTGTGTTTGAATGTTGTGTGTTCCCCACAACTCAGTAAAACCTAGCGCTCTATATGTTTTTAAAAGCTGTTTATCTCTCACAATCCTGTACAAGCCTGGAGCTCATTAAGATGTACTTCGCCCTTGTCCACAAGTGAAAAAAGAAAGAGAAGATAAGATAATACTCCTTCGCCACCGCACACACACATTGAAAGCCGTTGTTGGCCCAAGACGACAAACAACAAGGTCCTCATATCCCTCTCGGACAAATAAACGAGGTAAGCAGTTTTTCGCTGCCACTTCTGGATACTTCGAGGCAACGTCGTTTTTTTCTCCTTTGATCAAAAGTGAAAAGTGAGGGTAAGAAGGAGGTGAAAACCCAGAGAGATTGTGAGAGAATTGAGACAGTGAAAGAGAAGGAAGAGAAAGGGAAGTACTCACCCTTAAGAAATTGATAGCCAAGCAAATTCTCATAAGGTTGCTCGCAGAAGGGAAAAAGGCGCTGTCTCTACCCTGGTGAAGGCAATTGCACCGAAGAGAGAAATCGACGGGCTTAGGTTTTTTATTGTCTATTTCATCCAAAATTTAGGATGTTTTGGTTAATCTGAGGTTTACTGATAGCAGACTCCGTAGCAAATCATAAATGGGAAACAAGCAGATGGGAACTTACATAAATCTAGCTAGGCTAGCTCATCAGCAGCGTCGCGGGAAGCCATTGTTGTCAATGGGTCCGTTGTCGAAGTGCTCGATGTTTTGTTGTGTTCCAGTAGCGAGAGACTGGGGTTCTGAAGGGGTGGCGCCCTCTGGACGCGTTGATCTCCTGTAGGGAGGAAGTGGCTGTCTGTTGTCGCTCATGATTGTCGTGAATCCCGCAAGTGCAATGTTGACACATGCATTGCTGTCCCTGCCTCGACGTGCATAACCGGCGCGGACACTCTCACAGTTGGGGTTTTCGCACTGAACCGCACCGTTGATTGTGACCAGCTTCTCGACTCCGTTGACAAGTCTCAGTTCCTTGACGAGGCGTAGAATCGCAAAACAAAACGGACAGACTTTGCTTGTCATGTTTTCATCGGTCATCAGTACAGGGACGGAGAGGGCATGTTGCTCAACGACCTTTTTTCCGCCGTACTTTAGATGACCGCCAATGCGACTCCCGGTTCCGATTCCTGCCGTCCCGACGAACATGATAGGGATGATGGGCAACGCATCTCTGGGGCATTCCTGTGGATAGGTGAGTGCCCTTCCAACGCGGATTGGGAGGTGGTGTCTACCACACTTGCAACACCCATCGATAGAGTCGACTGTGTTGACTGATGCTGGTTGGGTCTGTCCTGTTCCTATCAAGAAAACAAAAATAAAAGTACGTTTTAGTTATTTGAATGCCCATTGGAGTTAACAACAAGGAATCAATGCACTCCGATTCTTAAATCCATAAACTTACCTCTGGAAAAATCCTGCATTTTCCGTCGTTCGTCGGCTGCGATCGTCTGCCATGCTCGCTGCAGTTGAAGATCCTTGTGGTGGGTTTGTTTCACTAAGCTTTTGCTGCCCTCGAAGTTGCGAAGGGGTTGTGTAGCTGATCGTCGGGTCACCTGTGCAGAGTCAACTTCACTGATAGTCTGCGCCTTCAAAACGGAGTTTTCTCCTATCTCCTTGTGAAGCTCCGAAATCCTCTGATTTTCCGGCTGTCGAAGCAAACGCTCCCTTGTTCGAGTCGCCCTACCTACTCCACCGACTTCTTTGACCTGTTTTGCGGTGATGCGGTTGGACTTGGCAAAACGCATGTCCTCGATCGTTGCCTTCCGGGATAAAGAGCCAGTTATCGTTATGGCGTTCCGAGTCCGTTCTGGAAGAGATGACGCTTTCGATTCTGAATGCAGAGAGGGCTGGGTGTCCGTGCCATCAATGTCCATGTCCACAGCATCAGCGTGAGAGGTGGGCGGCTCTGAAGCCCCGTCGTCGTTGCCGGTGTGGTGAGTATCGGGATGACCTATAACGTCAAATGAAACGCCGTAGGAAATTATTGCATGAAGACACGATCTTGATATGATAGAGCGACAGTAGTAAAGCAGAAAAGAAAACATACCATGGAGAATATAGTATCGGTTTGATAAAGATTCCAGAGTTGACCACAAGGAGGGGACAGTCTCAGACATAGTCACCAATCCTCTGTCAGTGCCTGGTACAGGTAGTTGTCGGTCCTTGTCTTCAATTTCTAACAGTAGCTGCTTGATGGAGGTTGTCTGAACAAAGTCTTGCATCCCAGGATGTTGAACAGTTGGGACAGACTCTGTGACAGTCGTGATGGGCAGGGGAGAAGGGTCTTCTGATAGTGCTGTTGGGGGGGGCGGTCGCCTTGGACAACCTGTTGTAATAGTAGCGTTGCTGCTTCTTTTCCCGGATCTCAGCCTCGAGAGGAACGATCTTCTTCTTCAGGTTGTTGACGACTTTTCGTGCCTCCTGTAGGTTCTGGTAGATTCCCTTTTTGTGTCTCTGGTCGTGTCCTTCATAGTGACGAAGGGTGCGGTCCTTTTCTCTCCTGACCGTCGTGGCTGCCTTGAGGCCCTTCTTGAGGGGTTGTAGCTCTGTGACCAAACGATCCTGAACAATCTTGATCTCCTCCGACGCTTTGGCTGCAGATTGAGGGGTGTGCCCGGTTTCCAGTAGTTCCGACGTCCAGTTGATTACACCTGATGGCTTAACATGCTTCTTCTTCTTGTCTTCGTACGCACTGTTGGTGAAGTGGCGGTTTGGTCCCGTTATCGCCCGTCGTCCCGTGATGCGTACTGTGTAAAAGTCGACGTACGTCATTCTATCATTTTACAAACAATGCACGGTAAACTGTTATTCAATTGACTCATGATGGTCATAGATATGAATGAGGAGAGGTCATATTCAAGACCTTATGTATGCATACCTTTGTGCGAACTCAAGTCCATGTTTCGTGCAGGCATCGTCGATGATGGCCATATTGAAAAGTCCACCGAAAACATATTTGCGATGATCGGTAGACAGTCTCGCGACGGTCGACGTGGTGATTACTCGACCACTTGGGCCCTTGATATCGAAGCGTCCTGGTGCTCGCCCGCCAAATATGTCATACACCCCTGACGCGTCCAACGGCACAGCATGCCGATTCCCAACAGCAGGAACTGGGCAAATCCTACGGGTGAAATCCTTGTATCCCGCCGATCTCAAGATTGCATTTGCAATATACACAAACGGCCCCAAAGTCAAGACGCTCTTTGGATAGGAAGTTGACTGGGGTCCTGAGTGGGCCTTCTTAGGGGTAAACGGTCTCAGTAATGTCACTAGCCGCAAGACGGCCAAAATCTCCTCCGTGCTGTACATCTCAGGCTCGTAGAGCTTCGCCTTGACTGTCTCTTCGGTGATGGGTATGTTCGAGTCTGGCAATTCCAGCAACCTGATAGCTACTGCTTCTAGACCTCGGAGCTTCTTTGATGTCGGCTCCTTTGGTCCTACGGTGGAGAAAAAGGAAGTGAGAGATATTAGTCAACAGTTAATACCACAAACTCAGCAAGGAGCAGCGTCCGATATTAGTTATTGGTACCTGTTGAGGAGCGTGCCACAGATTCAGACGGACCACTGCTCTGAGCCTCTGCATTAATAGAGCGACCGGCATCTGACTGCTCCTCCATGACCCCCATCTCGCAATCTTGATCTGCTGTGTGAGTGCAAGGCATTAAAACATCATCGCTGCTCTTGCTCGAGCCCGAAACAACCAACTCAGTATCCATATCGTCGTCTGAGTCGTCTGAGCCGTCAAACTCCGAGTCCGTCTCGTAGTCGTCGCTTTGGGTGAGTCCACGTGACTTGTTCTGCTCCTTGACTCCTGGCCGCCGCTCTTGATGGATGTCAATGAGCCCGAAAATCTTGTTGATGCGCTCCTCGTCTCGACTAGTATCAAATGCGTGATCAAGTTGATTGAATAGGTCCTGGTTTCGCCTTTTCCAGTTCCTCAGGGACTCTCGACGCTTTTGGCTTGCCGATGCCGACGCCTCCTTCATCTCCTCGGCCTTCTTGATAGCACGCTTCCGCTTTTGGATGCGGTGTTTCTCCTCGCTCTGGGGTCGTAGATTGAGTCGGAGAACATTGTGCACCACGTACCGTCTCAACCTCTCGTAAATGTCTCCAGACCATATCATCTTGATGTTCGTAGCGTACTCTCGCATGAGTGTGGCCGTCAAGCCCCCCAGGCTTTCCTTCGATGAGTCCTCTGACTGGTATCCGACCTCGACATTGGCATCAGCAGCAGCATAGGCATCATCCACAGCGCCGGAACCAGAGGCTTGAGACAAGCTTGGAATGATCTTGAAGGGGTTGGATGAGGGTGAGTCAGGATGCCTTGAATCATCCCAGGCTTGTGGTACCAGCTTCCCGCTATAGATGCTTTCAAGCACTGTATCCCACAAGGGGTGGGTGGTAGTCTTGGGGGTCTTCCTCGCACGTCTCAATTCTGGAATCCGAACTCCAAGGTACTGCAAATAATCCTGGGATAGCAAGGTTGCCGGATCCTTCACTCGGGGCTTCAACTCCGTAGCATCGGATACAATCTGTTGCCACTCCGGAGTAATGACTCCCGCTTCCACGATCGGGTTCTCCTTGAAGTAGTCGTCCCTGATATCAAAGGATGGCGGGAATATGTCAGCTAGGTTAAGCTGTATGCTTCCTTGGATGCCACCGCGACAGATCTAGAAAGTAAACACGGTCGTGATAACATATAATATTAGTTAACTTGAAATAAATATGTCCTTGCGCGACCACAACCAAGACAGAGAATGTTGAAAACATACCCATAGTGTTGTCTTGTACGCTCCCATGGCAACGGATTCCATAAAGTCAGACACCTCACCCTGTACGTCGTTTAGCCTCTTGGTGATGTAATCTTGATCCTTCGTGGGGAGATCCGTCCTGAGCAGCTTCGCAAGAGGTAGGGTAATAGTGCGAATGCTGTTGTCATCCTGGGCGTCGATGTCCGATGGGGTTGGGGCGATAGTTGTTGAGTTTGCTGAAGCAACGGTAGGATCAGATATGTGGTCCTGTTCCTCGATCCATGCCATGTCAAAGTGTCTTGATAAGGCCGCCTTATATGTCGCTAGAGCTCGTCCAGTAACGGTCTGAGGTTCTCCAATAGGGTGGGTAATCATCATCGATGCGTGATGGTTGGTAAAGTCCTCTTCGTCGTTGATGCCGCAGTGTTGGCGAACGCGTCGAGCAGTTTCATTCATGACTCCCCGAGGCGTTCTTACACGTTTCTCTTCCGCTTGCTTTGCATCAATATGTGCCTTCTCCAATGCTTCCCTCGGATCTGCCTCCTTCTTTGCACGCTTCTTCGCCGTGCGGCACTGATCGGCCGCCTCCTTCTTGACTCGGGCCTCACTAAATGATTTTTTTTTAAAAATATCAAAGACAATCAATAAAGAAGTAAAAATCAAACAAAAAAAGTCTAAAAATCATTCACATAGTAGACATCAAAACACACCATTCCTCCTTGTAGATGGTCTCTAGTGCGACCCTGTCGATCTCGCATCCTTCTCTCTGCTGGCGCGGTCGTTTGGCGGTTCGGAATGTCGCGGCAGGTCCTGGTGGAAGTGGTAGAGACGGGGGTGTTGGTGGCCGTAGATCAATGAAAAGATCGTCCTGTTCCGTACGAGTTGGTCCGAGTACATTGTAGTCCGAGTATCCCAGAATTGACGATGCATCATGAAGAATACCGACAACTCCTTTTGGATAGGGATGGGTGATGACAATGGGGCGGGCGGCGGTGTCAAACAGGAATATGTTGATGTGCAATAGTGCTGAGATGTAGCGAAGAAGAAAGCTTGAAGGTGGAATGGGATATGTGATGGTGTTTTCCTGGTTCCTCCAAAGCACCAAAAATCCGGTCTCGTTCCTCTCACCACGCTCCGGTGTCCATGAGCCATCCAAGATCGCAATGATAAGCCGTGCAAGAGAGGGTGTTGTGCTGAAATTTAATGCCAAGTGGTGCTTGTTGATAAAGCGAAAGGCGACGGACGCTTGACCCTGTGCTATGGGTTGGGCCTCTGAAGCAATAAAAGCTCCTCCTAGTCGCTGATATAGATCCCCATTGAATCCCTCGTGCAGGATTTGTTCTGCAGCCTCGTTAACGAACTTCCAGTCCGGCATAAAGGAGTGCATCTGCTTCGTAGTAGTTAAAACAGAACGGAACAATATGTTGTGAGTACATAATCTCTCTCTCTCTCTCTCTCTCTCTCTCTCTCTCTGCAAAACGCAAGGTGATGAACGTTCATGAACTGTTTTACGTACTCCAGGGCTGTTGTCGCTCATGACGGATGTCGTCGTCTTTGCAAAGAGAGTGTGCTGGTGGTGGTGGTGTTATCGTTCGTGTGTCACGTTGGGAAAGTGAACAGAAAAGGTTGAGTGGGAAGAGGAATGTGTGGAATTGTGGGGGTTATCCACATAAGGTTGGTTTATAAAAGTCACGTGACACATATGGGTTTATCCCCGTCGGCATAGGCACGGTTTTAAACCGATAGGCAGCCTTGCATAATTATTTTTTTTCTGGCGGAATCATCCACATGGGACGCATGCATGTCACTCCATTCTTCCCTCTTTCTCCACTCCACATCGCCACATTAGCCTCATTCAGACAAGCCCACACCCCAATCTTCCCTCTTTCTCACTTCACATCGCCACATTAGCCTGATTCAAACAAGCCCACACCCCAATACACATTACACACACCCCCCCCCCCCCAATACCCGACTAATTAATGACACGGGTAAGCTAAAGAGGTATTTGCACAATTGGGGCGATATGTCCTGTACCTGATTGGCATCCACCATACCACCATACTTACTATTTCGTTCTATTGTTTTATTGTTTCGCGTTAAACAAGTCGTGCAGCTTTTCTGTTAAAGGCAAAGCCATAGCACGAAACAAACGGCAGCAGACGAGCATGCAAGGCAGCCAGCCGGCAAGAGCAAAATCTAAGCTGGAAACCTACCGCGAACGCAATAGGGTTGAACAACAAAATCACCTCTGTAATAAGCAGAAGGAGCTAGCAAGCTCCCATCTTGTGGCCGAAGCTCGCAAGTCCTTGCAAGCCCAGTCGACGCGGGACCAGTATGATCGGTACCAGGAGAAGTTCATGGTATGGCAAATTGTAAAATGTACCCCCATTTTTGCACAAGCATAGATAAACTATGGCCCCCGACTCGACGCACTAACTAACTCAATCACTCCATCCCTTGGTATAGGAATGGTGCGACGTTTCTGGATATAAGGATGATTACAACGTCACGAAAGGCAAAGTAACCCGTTACTTTGCTTGCCTGACCTGCGAGACGGAAGATCCTCAAAACGGTATGAATATGAAAAATGGAACTAATGTGAGCGGTCATACGATACGACGACGACGACGAAACGCTATGGTGGTGTTTGAAATTATAAGAACTAACGAAAATATAAATGCAATAGGTATCATACGGATCAAACCGTCGCCAAGAGACAGGAAGGGCAACAACAGCAAGGACAAGTCCGGCGAACGGCGGGCAAATATGGATGACCCGTGTTCTGATGATGATGTCGATGGAGGCGATGTGGAGGACAAAAGCGATGACAACTGCGAGGGGGACGCCAGTCGAGACGTTGACATCCACAACAGCAACAATGAGAACAGTGAAGAGCGGTGGTACTCGACGGCAACCATTCTCTTGCACCTCGCTGCCATTGGCGACCTCTATAAGCATCAGTGTGAAGACAGGAACAATTTAGCGATGGATTATGGCACAGTTCCGGCCCCGAAGACGTACATTCAACCTCTGATCGACGTTTACCGCGTGAGGATGTCCGCCAGGAAGAGGTCGACAGATACCGACTTTGGCTCTATCGACTTCACCCAGAACCCAACTTCGATTGTTCGGCAGCTAATGAAGCGATTTTGGATGCGCAATGTGGAGGGCGCAGCCAGCTTGAGAAAGCGCCGCTTGAAAGGGTTACGCGACCGTGCGGATGTAAGTCTTTGCTTTTTTATGATGTTCCGCAGCGAGGTCACACGCCAGATCCGACTCCCGGATCTTTTCGCCCACGACGTCGAGCCCAACCGCAACAAAAATACGAACGATGCCAGCTGCAGAGAAGGCCAATTCGTGCTTGGAGTTGTGCTGATGATGAGGCAAGGCAAGACGAACAAGGACGGCAAGATTCAGTATGGAGTTGCAGTTCGGAACAAAGAAGTAGATGTGTGTCCAGTTGGCGCGCTAGCCTTTTATTTGCTTGAGCTTTGGTCGGTAAGTGGCGTGCATGTGGTAAATGTCGGCGGCCGACGCGTGGTGTCACTCATATTTCAACACTCATTTAATAATGCGTTCTTCCCCCCCCCCCCTCTTCCTTTTTTTTGCTGTACTAAGAGCAAAAACAAAAGGGCGCCTGATCTCACCAACCCTAAATGGACCGACTACCATCTGTTAGCTGGAAACAAACCAATGGATGTACCGATGACTTACAACTCCCAGTTCCAGGCGCAGGTGGAGGCTCTTCATGAGAGCGGGATATTGGACAAGGGCACAGTGACTCACCTTGGGCGCAAGCACGGCTCCAGATTCGCGCATATGTGTGGATCTACGGTAGAGGCGATCGCTAAGCACGGGAACTGGGCATCGAACCGTCTCTCAACTCACTATCTCGAGGGTGTAGAGCCTTCAGTGGCCCTTCGATTGGCTGGATTTGACCGCGACCGTCTAGAGCGCTTTTGGCTGGCTCGGAACACTGTGATCCCCAGCATTGAGCTCCAAAGGCAGTTGTTCCCTTTCATCGAGGATGCTTGCTCCGACACGTTCTGGAGGCTCACGATTGACAACATTATGCGTGACTGCGACGTTTTCCACGGACGCGAGGAGTTGCGTGAGAAGCTGCGACGGGGCGAGTGCAAGGAAGTCAAGCAGGTGTACACGGACAAGGATATGCAGACCGTTCTGTCGAATGAGGTCATTTCAAGAAAGCGCCATCTTAGCCTTCTCGCCCACCTGCGAAAGGTTATCCTTCAGGATGCAGCTGTCATCCTGTTCGGGGGTGGTGCTGCCGCCGCGCACCCTGTTTTCGATCACCCTGTCTTCAAAACACCTGCGTTTCAAGATTTCCAGCAAACCCTACTCGAGAGCATGAGAAATCCCTCTCCTCTCACGGATTCCCTCGCATCTGCCACACCCATCATCCAACTGGAGTTTGACAGGGTCGGCGCGAGGCTCGGTGTCCAAGATGCTGCAATCCGGAGCCTGCAGCAAAGCCAGCAAGCCGGACTTCAGAGTTTGCACGCCGGTATGAATGTTCTAGCAGCTACTTTACAAGCTCAGAATGATAGGACAGCATCCGAGCTGAAGGACTTGAAGCGGTGCATTGGCAACAATGACAAACTGGCAGGCAACAAGCGACAATGTTTGAACAAGGATGCCGTTCGATCTCAGTTGATGCAAGCTCTCAAGTCAACGGTGGAAGCCGTGGTGGCGATTAGCGAGGACGATGAGGTGAATGTCAGTGACGACGTCAACGGCAGTGCAGCAAGCCAGAGTACCACTATGGCTACCGCCATCGCTCTTCTTCAGCTTCCAGAGCCGGACGCTGGCCAGCAAGAATCAAGACCTCCGACTTCTTCCACTGCAGTTCTTTCAAGGGATGCGCACCGCCGCGCAGCTCTGGCCGCTTTCAACCCCAGCGACAATGTCGAGGACAGAATGCGACAAGTAGCCGTCTTAGTCGCCGACGAGAAGAGGGCGAGAGGAGAGACCCAACACCATATGCCCCTAATGCCCGAGTGCAAGCTGATCCCACGACCGAATACGCTCGACCAACTGTGGCAAGAGTGGTTTTACCACGGCGTCGATGGGTCCCCCTCCATCGCAGAGCTTAATAGGTGGTTCGGATCAGCGTGGCGAGGCAAAGATGCACAGCTCTACAAGTGGAAGAAGGACATTGTACATTCGGTTCTGCGCTCTATCCCAGCTGGCTTGCAGGTTGACAAGTCCGCCGTAAACAATGCACTTGCCTTCGTAAGAGGGCAAATCGATACTGTTGGTTCAATTGATAAATACTACAAGGCTCTTCCCAAAGCACCCTCGAGAAAGTACCCAAAGAGAAGAGAATAAACACCATCCTTGGTCTATCACAGTGTTACATGTCAGCTCGCTCTACATATGGTTAGGAGCAGGGTGAGGGCAAAGCTGAGGGAAGGAGGAGAGAAGAGGATAGTAGAGAGGGGAGTAGAGAGAGTGATGATAGAAGGACCTAGGGATAGAGGGAGGGAAGAGCAGAGAGGAATAGAGAGCAGAGAGTGTGATGTAAGCAGGAGGGCAACGCAGTTCTCAATGTGTTCAGGCACAGGCACGAGAGGAGAGGGCACATGAAACAATCTATTCACACATATGTGACTGGTTTATAACTGTCTATCGTGCTCGGAATAAAAAAATCTATAAACCATTATAAGCCGCTAATCTGCGTATAATGTAGTGGGGTTGTCGTTCAGTGTCGTGTAGAAAAGGGAACAGATGTATAGAATGTGAAGGGAAGAAAAAAAGAGATCGAGTGTTGTCTTTCTGAAGAGAGTGTGTTGTGTGTGTGTTGGTTAGGTGCGGGTGAGGCTGGAGAATAGGGTATGCTTTTCGCCAGTATCAACTTCGCTTAATTGAATAGGCCTTTTTGGCTCGCACTTTTTATACCAAGAATAACATTGATCATAAATTGATAATTTTGCGTGAAATCCACTATAGTATTTATTGGATTGTCCTTTTTCCCTCTGTTGTTGCGCCTTTGTTCTTTCCCTTGCAGAAGACGGAGGCAAACAAATTCACACTCTCTTATTCACAAGGAACACACCAACCAACGATAACCGTATCAGCATTCATTAGCCTACTCAACAGACTCAGGACAACCTTTGCACCCCCGGAAAATACAGAGAAAACAGAGGACGATGCTCCGTCCTGGCGCTTACTACCGTCGTCGCCGCCGCTTCACTCCTGTATTATTACACCACCACTCTGCCCCACCAACAACAACACTCTCCTTTCATACAAACAACACCACCTCGACATGTTCGACACCGACCCTACCATCTCTCTCGCCTTACATCAACAACAACAAAAACTCTCGCACTCACACACTGGCGATAAGAACACACCGCCAAC